TAGCGACGACACTGAACTTTGCAGTTGTTTCCAAGTCGATGAAACAACCGACCAGGCTTACAATCGCGACAACGACACGACAACGTAAACCTAGTCCAGTGTTTCTCAAACTTTGCCCTCCCTGCTCCTAGGGAACTTTTTAGCGAACGCCAGAAAATAGAGATTTATTAAACAAAAATATTTCTGTGTTATTATCGTATATAAATGTACGCGGCAATGGGAAATTCAAAGTAAATAATTAGAACGAGTTTCGAAAATATTTAAAATAACATTTCTGCTCCAATTTTAGTAATGAGGAACACGATCTTCGAAGATTAATAATTTTCATTTGTGACTATTAATTTTCTTAACGATTAGAAGTCGAAAACAAGTACGTTGCCCAAATGACGCTGCTTTTAACGGAAAATGCAGAAAGTAGGGGGTACTGCTGTTTTTGCAGGTTTTTGTAAGGATGCAGCGTAAAGTAAATTAAGAGATAATTATGCAAAGTTATGTGAGCGAATAAACTGCGCAAGAAAACAATTTTAACGGATCTCTAGGAATGCACGTAAAAATTCTAGATTTCTCATACGTTAACTATTCAGTGGAAAATGCGGAGAGAATATGTTGCGTATGAGATTCTGTTTTTAGAGAAAGGCAATATCAAAAATTCTGAAAATACACGGCCACTTGAATATGGTCACGTTTGGCATACCTAAAATTTTCAATACTTTCCTCGATACCGAAGCCACGTTCGAAAGAAATTCATTTAACGTTTCGAAACGATCAGCACGATAATTTTAATAACCCAATAAGTAGCTTCTTAAAATATAATTTAATTACATTTACTAATCGTAGCAATTGATAATAACTCCTGAAATATTTCGACTAGAGCGTTCTGTACGATTAATTTATAATTTTAAAACGAAATTGTGTACAGAGATGCTGAAAATTAAACGTTATCTCAGTTAAGAAAAGTCATGGCCGAATCGTGAAAATAAACGAGTATTTTAGAGCACTGGTATATATTTCCCTCGTTCGAAAGCGTAGCTCCTTAACGAAATTCTCGTTAATTATATCATAGCGTTTGATAAGATATACATAAAATATGTGATTTCGCACCGCGGTTTGTCTTATCTTGAGCGTTGGTTAATGTAACGAAATAATGAATCACAGGATTACCAGCGTTCTCGGGGCGTGTCTCGCGACGCTTACAAGTTTTCTGCATTATATCTTCAGTTCTGAAGAACCTCTAACTCGAATAGTTGTTCCAAAATCTAATAATTCGGTTCGCAGCCCAATCTTAATATTTGCAAGTGGACATAAACGGTGCTAGTTATACAGACATTCCATCGAAAAATAATCCATTTGATAAACTAAACTTTTCTAACGGACTTTTAATATTCATGTACCGTATTCTAACTCGAAATATACATCATCGATTGAGTTTTGTACGTAACACTCATGAAAATAAATATTTACTTTGTACCTATTATTCGATAATAACGAATGGACGAACATAGATATTTAATAAACTGACTTCCGCGTGAAATTTCACAATACTTCAACCATGGTCGTTCTCCTTGAAGATGTTTCTCACAAGATTGCCCTACATTTTGAAACTAAAGTAGAGCAATTTAAAATTTCCTCTGCTGAAAGAGCTTTAAACTTTAATAAATCAAATAAGCTTTGATATAGCTGAACGCGATAAATAACACTAAACACTTCAGAATTTTTAACTCTTTATCTGAATATTTTCTGCTTTACGTTGAATAAAAAATATTTAATACGTTTAAATAAATTAAATCTCAACGAAGCTTATTTTGCCACTAAACTGTGACGCTAAAACGAATTCCTTGAATAGAATTTTGTTATATCACTATCACGGGATTTCGCATCGTATAATCTAATATTTAATAATATTGCTATCATAAAGATGCAATTTACGACCGTATGGACAGATTTCTCTCACATCGTAAACATCACTCAGCGACATTCTTTATAGCTCCTTCCAGTACATAAAAATAATCTAGTTTTCTACAAGATGTAATTTTCACCTTATGAACTCCTATACCTGTCGTTTAAAATATGAAGAATAATCCACTAAAAAGTATATACTCTCATATATAACTTGATCTGTTTTCGATTTCACAAATATTAATTAATACATCCAAAAATATTAAAAATATTGTTCCTGCAATCTCGTATACTTTACACGTTCTGAATGTAAAAATTATTGGAATTAAGAATTATATTTATTACTTTCGAATATACTGTTGTTTACGAGAGACATATATATTAATTTGAAACTTGATATTTAGGACAAATTCGTTGCCTATTTTTTAAATGACTAACGAACGAAATTGAATAAAGAAAAATGGTTCGTGAACTGTCGTAGAATGTTATAAGGAATATTGGTATTAATTGCAAAAGTAATCAATTTAACCTGTTTCGCAGTTATCGTGTACACAGTTTTATGAAAACAGTGTTTCGAGAAAACGCATTTAAAATCCCATAATGTAATATCCGATCGTGTGTACCGCTGGCGCTAACAGGCTATAACTTGTTTAAAATACGAACTTCGATATGGGACCACTTTCATGCTATTTTCAACACTTCAAACTACGAACTAATGGAAAAAAATATATAAACTTTTAAATTTGCATGCTCCAATATCATCAGAAAAGAGTGTCTAACATGGAATTAAATTTGTTTAATTTTCTCATTGCGAATAGAATATTAGAATAATGAAATAATATCCATAAAATAAGCAACGATAGTCGAAAATTCCATGGTTACTAACGGTTCATCTACTATTGTTATTTTAAAAATACATTTTGATTAAATCCATTGAATAGTTTTATACAAATTTCGAAAACGAAAATTCGCAGTTGATGAAAAAAAATTCAATATTTTCGTTGCACTATCGATTCTAGAACAAAGACGTGAAATTCTTTCATCCCTTTGATCGAGACTAACTTTGGAGCGAAAGCAAAGTTAATCAATCTATCGAACGTTCCCATACAAAGCCATTTCGAAACAGCTAATCATAGGCTAATAATGTTGGATTTGTTTCGATTCATCATGCCCTACATTTGACTCCAATTTCATTCAAAAAGACCTCGTCTCGTTCGTATCCACCCCTTGTAATCTAGATTTCCAATATTTTGTTGTATCCACGCTTGGGAACCAGACTCGTCCCAGTTTCGACAAATCTCCCCGCAAATGAAAACGACGAAAGCATACCGGTAGACATAATCCAACAAATCGCTTCTCTGTACCAACGGAAACACCGAATTAACAAGATGTCGTACAAATTAACAAGATACACGAGATATTTCGACGAATAATAAACGTCCGGCGGAATTTCGCGTCGTTCATCTTGCGTCGCTACTCTCGCGCAATCTTCTTCTTATAAAATGTTTTTTTTTTATTTCCGAAGCTCCTTAGAAAGATACACTCCGGGGGAAAAAGATAGCACATCTTACATTTTTTATAGTTTTGTATTAAAAACTGGTTGAAATACACATTTTATGTTACTACTAGTCTTGGACATGTCTGTACGTACAGCGTGCTGAATATCATCAACAAAACGTAAATATTGTGGTACGCAAGTGGGACAAAATGATAGCACGAGCACAAAATCTACGTTTCCCTTTTGTATATGAGCTACGGAATAACAAACGTCGAACGTGAATTATAATTATTAAAGTGTGTAATAACACTCTGTAATTAATTTTGGTTAAAAGAGGCAATATATTAATAAAAATGGGCCGAGGAAAGAAACTCAGTGCTAGTGAAATACAGACCATACTGAAATTGAAGGATAAGCAGTATTCAGTAGCCCAAATATCAAAAGTTACAAACAGAAGTCGCAAAGTGATTATGAATTTATTAAAAGATCCAGAAAATTATGGGAAAAAAAGAAATTCCGGGCGTCCGGAAAGCTTATCTGCTCGCCATAAACGGGCAATACTAAGGGCGGCATCAAATTCAAAGATGACTGCAAGACAAATTGCGCAGTGTTGGTATAGATATTAACGTGAAGAATGTGAGACGCATTTTAATGGGGGAAAAATACAACGCGTACATTAATCACATGTTTGAAAAGAGGTTTAGGAAATTCTAAATTCGTGTTTTCTTTTAGACATCTTCACCACTAATTCCTACACTCGAGTAAACGAAAAAAATAGAATGCATAACATAATTATATACAGGGTATTCAGCCACCCCTGGGAAAAATTTTAATGGGAGATTCTAGAGGCCAAAATAAGACGAAAATCAAGGATACTAATTTGCTGATTGAGGCTCCGTTAAAGAGTTATTAACGTTTAAAGTGACGTCCGTATTGAATTTTTTTCTCGAAAATGCGCAGGATTTCGGGGCTATGTTTATTCACCAAAAACGATTGTAATTCACCCCTGCAACCGAAAATAATTTTTCCAGAATGATTTCAAATTTTTTAATTTTGTTGAAAAATTTCACACCTTCTCGAATTGTTATCTAGAAAATGGGTAGGATTTCGAAGGTATGTCTATTCACCAAAAATGATTGTAACTGACCCCTGCAATTGAAAATAATTTTTTTAGAACAATTTGAAAAAATGTTGTTTTCGCCGAAAGATTTTAACAATACACCCCGTCGATTTTTCTTAAAAATTCGTGCTTGCCGTTATTAACTCTAAAAGAGGTGCAAAAAAATACTAAATACAAAATATCGTTCATAAATTTGTTAATATTTTAAGTTTTTATGTGCTATTATTTTGTCTCGCTACATTTTAGCAAAAGTACAATTCTTTAAAGTTAGATGGACAGTTCAATTTGATTTTACTTATACCTGTTAATAAACCTATTCTGAAATAATGTTCAGGGAGAAATTTCAGTTGCAATGTAAAAATAAAATTATGGGAATTTTAATCTGCGCTATCTTTTTGTCCCGGAGTGTAAATGACCGGTTCCTCTTAAACGTACCGCGCAGGTACGAGCAAAATTACGAATAAACAAAGACAGGTCTGGACTCACCGGTGTTGTGTACGGTTGACAGGCCAGCCTGATGCCGTCGTGTCTCAGCCTCTCCTGCAGCAACATCCTGAGCTGCATCCTCGGGATTCTGACGAGCTCCGCCTTTCCCTCCTCGTACTCGTCCGCGAACTTTGTTAATTCCTGACCACCGCTGGAGGAGCTGGCGGTCGGCGAGGCCCTCTGCGCCTCTTTATCACTGGGTGGTCTCTCGGAGGACGTCCTCGAGGACTTGGAGCTGACGTTGTCGCACAGACAGTCGTTGCTCTCCTCCAGCGTAAAGTAAACGCTAGCTGCGCCTTCCTCGCGCAGTGTCTTGACCGATTGCAACAACCGGGCGCGATGGGTCTGATTGAACACCCCGATCGCGTCGAGATCGGGATCCCCGATCTGTTTGCAGATCTCAAGGTCGTCGTAGCCATTGTCGATGAACGACTCGGAATACTGGCCGAGGTGAAGCGAACGCAGCCACTCGACCACGATGTTGCTGGCCATGGTCATGTCTGTCGGTGTTCGGGGACCGCGAGGGCCTCGAGGTACACACCCTTTCCTTACGTTCAGCGTGTTCGACTCCGTTTTTTTTTTTTTTTTTTAAATCGCCCCCTCTGTCGTGCTCTTTAACCCCTTACGCGCTATATCCCGATGCTGCGCGCCGCGACATCCTCGAATCGACGTCCGTTCGCGATTACGACGATCGAATCACATACATACGATATTCGGTATAGAATCGATCGAGGGTTTTTCTTTTTCTTTCTTGTAACGGGCGGCACCTCGATTAACGGCTCCTCCGAGAATACCGATAGACGATTGGAGGGTCGCTAGTCACGTTCGATCTTCGACTCTAGCTCATTACGAGGCGAGGACGGTCGAACTGGCCCAATGTGTCGATACGATCTTCCGGGGGGCGCTTCCGTGCCCAGGCCACTCCGGTTCACTGGAACTCGACGCGCAGGTAGGAATTAAACGAAGAAACGCGGTTAATCGTACTCCGTGTCCCTGTCTCGATCTATTTCACGAAGCACCGCGAGGGTCGAACGAGCAGAGACCGACGCGGGGGAGGAGGCCAATCATTCGAAACGCGATCGAAACTACTGCTCGTACACGTGTCTCGATAAACGTACGCGAATCGTCGGTCCGGGCCAGAGGGGTCGCGAATTAGAAACACCGACGGGGGCTTTTAAAACACGGCAACGTGCTCGTTCGCCCGCACGCGCGACGAGAAATCAATCTTTTTTTCTCGTTTTTTTTTTGTTCCGTATCCCCGAACACTCGTCGCTTCGTTGTCCTTGCTTTTTACGCGTAAAAATTTTTCAAGGGTCGACGCACCGGTCCGAGACAAAGAGACGCGAAGAGGTTATACGCGCGATTTTCTTTTCGAGTCTTGTTTAATGATCCCACGTAAATACGAAACGGTTCGCGAAGTTAGGTTTTATCCTCTGTCGTTATTATGATTCTGATGTCTTGTCGTGTTTTTTCCTCCGTGACCTTGGGGATTCCTGTCGCACGACTACGATCAGCTCCGTTTCGACACCGTTACCATCGACGTTGAATCTCATCTGCTCCGTTCGGCAATACTGCCGGCGAACAATTTTCACTGTTCCCGGCACACCGGAACGAACAACCTGTAAACCGACGACGCACAAAACTCACCGAAATTACCCCGTGCCCCGCGCCACACGCGATAGGCCAACGTCAGAATCCGTCTTCCACGAGTTTTTCGATCGCACGGAGGACCGTTGCGCGCGCGAATGACAGAAAAAAACGAGCAGAACCGCAGACAGAAGCAACGGCCCGGATCGTTCGTGCCGGCAATGAAAGCGTAACCTTGAAAACCCCCCAAAAGAGCAAAGACCAACACGGTAGGGAGAGCACGCGGTCCGACCGAAACGATGAGCCTGGTTTTTCGTACTTTGATCGCGCGTGGACGTTTCTTTCACTGCTCAATGACCATGCCCGCGACGACAATCTCTTTAATAACGGCTTCACTGAACTCACATCGCCCGTAATCACAGCAAACAAAGCGTCATTCGTGCTCGATGCGATTACGCGAAACACGGCACTTCAACACAACACGACCGCGACGCGGCACACGGCTCGACTGACACGAGATCTTCGCCAGAGGGAGCTCCACTCGTCTTCTCTTCGTTCCGTTCCCCCACCACCGGCCCGATCGGCATTCCCCACCACAGACTCGTTTCTCCCCACCACTGCGGGAGCTACTTGGTCCAGCGAGATCCTGTTGATGCACTCCTACGCCAGGATGCAACAGCCGTGTCCTTCGTCCTCTCCTTCTTTGCCTCTTTCTCGTTTACGTATCTCATTCCCTCTCTCTCTCGTTCTCGTCTTTACTTTATCTCTCGTGTCCTTTTTCACGAGTTCGACAGCGAGTAGATTACGCTGTTTGCAAAACGGTAGAGCTGTTTTCGTGCAAGCAAGACGTTCCTCCCTGTATGTATTACCGAAATTAGGTACTCTGGTTTAGGGAAATTATCTAACGCGTTGGAATCAAACGTCGCGTTACAAATTGTTGTACAATATGGAAAATTATGAATTAGAATGGAAATGTACATAACTTCTGTTTACTAGCAAGGTAAATAGCCCAACTACGAAGTCAAAAATTTGTGAGTATTATATTCACGATATGAAATTGTACAAAACAGAGCAAAACGACAATTTCATCTTTAAATCGTTGTTATTTGAATATTATTATAAGAAATTTCAAAAGCAATAATTTTAAGTGAAGCTGTCACAGTAAAATTTCCAAACTGTATTTATTTAGACACTCCGGTCTCTATATGCACTTCTACGGAGAGTACTATAAATTGAAACCTATTGAATCTTCCATGATCTCATTTACACTACGATACTATAACGCGTGAAATATTTACCCTCGCCCTTGAGTTTCTCGAAAAAACAAGAATATTGCAATATTAATTTCCAATTTCGCCACGGCTGGTCATATACCTGTGTACGATAAAAAGAAGTTAATACATAATCAAGAGGGCACCCCACCAGAACTAATAAACCGTCGAATAAAGGCGGGAGTTATTTTCTCGTTTGTATAACTCCCTATACGGGTAAAAGAAATGCGATTGTTTGAATTTAACGAGCCTGGTGAACAGATAGAGCGGTAAGTTGATTTCAAGTAGCGATGTTCGTGACGTGCACACACCCAGAACGCATTACGCTGGGTTGAAGGAGAGTTAGTATCGATGACTATCTACGAGCATCGCAATCGGGGTCTTTGGTAGAGTCGTGGCATTTATAAATGAACGCCCAACACAACTAGTCTAAGGCTTACGACTCACTAGAGCAATAATCTCTAACGCCCGGCCGCTCAAATGGCTCGCACAATGATTGCGCGCTATTATATTACGTTTAAACGAAATTAAATTGCGTCGAGCAGTGAATGCGTCAGAAGAAATCCATTGTTCATTTTTAAGGTTTTACATCCGGATGTCCTGCAGCACTGATACTGTTGATGGAATAGTGTATTCTCCAAAACTGTCTCGCCCATGAATTACCTGCAATCAAGATTGTACTATTGGAAATGCAAGATGGAACAAAACAGTCTCTCTGCTTAATTAATCAGTAGCAAAGAGTTATAATACCTAATAGTAATCAAAATGTCACTGTTTATAAATAATGAAGAAGCAATATGGTAATGGTTTTAAAACACGCCAAATTGAAATCAAATTGATATTAACATTTCATTTCTTTTCTTTCCGAGATTATTTTCGTGTAATTCGCGAAAGACATTAAAGCAGATAATGAGATATTAAATTATTAAAGATACTTTATATAGAATTCCTTCTGACATCTGCTAGAACGTTATTAACCAAGAAGGGAATTACCAAAATAGACATTAAGATAAAGCACTTCACTTAAAAATTGATACGAAGACATAATTGATTTTAACTATTTCTGATGCACGAGGTTATCATAATAGAACATTTGGAATAATTTGTTAATATAACGGAAGTTATTGTTAACAAAGAAATTCCTTTATTCGTTCCAATAAATTTTTATCCGCGTTTGAGTAAAAATTTCATTCTAATAAATTATCTTCGAGATTGTCAATGAAGCTAATTTAAAAATCTCTCAGAAAATAATAGATCACTGTTTTCTGAACAATCGAGATAATTGGCTGTTCCCTTTAAAATGACCTACCCAGCGTATTCATAAGATCACGATCATGCGACAACTGGCAATGCTAGACACGCAGAACTTTTCTACCATTATCGTCGGTATTTATGTGAGTAAAGGTGGAATTAATTGAATGATCCACACGGACGTCCTGTGACGCCAAAGCAGGGAATGACAAGTAGCTCTCAATAACGTGATATGACATCGCGTGCCATGGACACGAAGGACCCCTCAACGCAACCCTCGCTATTTCCTCGCTTTGGTCGAGTAATTTGCTTTTGGGCCGGAGATGAGATCGAAAGACGAGTCACCTGCCAATATATTAACTCGTTTCCGCAATACGGAAAATTATTACGAGGCAGACAATGGATTTCCTCCGTGTGACACCTTCGATATGCATGCTTACTCAATCATATTGTCAACTAATCTGTCAGATTTTAATCTCGATTTGAGAACAGTATGCGTGTGAAACCTGCACACGGTTAGTTTCGTGCTCCGAAAATATTTCGCGTATTAAATAGTCAAAGGTTAAACGATTCTTAAAGATATCATTAATATCGAATGCACTTTCCTCCAGAAAATTTGAATAATCAGTATCATTCCTGTGATTATCGACTAAAATTGGAAATATAAAGGGGCCAATAATTACGGGCAATTTTAATCCAAATGCGTTTCGTTTAATTACACGAATGAATTGATAGATAGAAAATTTGATAATTCGAACGCTTTGCGGAAAATTCTAAAGCTGAATAGCACACGTTTTATTTAAAGGAAATAAATTTAATATGTATTAAATATCTTTCTTCCCTGGTGAATAATTTTAACCTGTTTTAGAACGGCTTTAAGCGAACCGAAGCTATTATGAAGTCAGATAAAATTTTGAAATATACGAGAAACAAATTTGGTGGCTCTTTCCATAGAGATCGACAAACCAGTATCAATATTTTATCGATGTAAAAACATCAAACTTTTAACCAGCAACAAGTCGAAAAAGTTTGAGATACGACTAATTAAAAAAGCACGTTTTCTCCTCCTGTCTTTCTCAAAAATTCCAAAGTGTTGTGAAACTTTTGACATACCTAATATTAAAAGCAGGAACTGTTTTCAAATTTATTTTTAAATAACTCTCATTCTATACATTGTTGGTGTAAAGGCAACGATGAATACCTCACGTAGGCCTTTTCTGTCGGCCATTCTTACTGGACGTTCGACTACCGAGTAACCGAATGAATAGAACATCTTACAGATGGGAATTAACTGCCGAGTTATACGAAAGCGAGTAGAGAATGTTGCGTTTAGCGACGCTGCGATATGACGATCGTAAATCACGAGTTCGCGGGTCAACATAAAACTTACCCGAATAGCTAACAGCTGAAGCATAAGCCAGTGGCCGCTTACAAAAAGCTGATGGCCGCCGCTGGACAAGCGTTATGCGCGTATATCATCCGCGTTAACTGCCGATATAAAGTCCAAGCAAAAATTTAGATGCACCCGTCCACCGTCCCGGCTGTTTGGCCTCGCCATATTCCCGACAATGTAACTTAATGACGAGGCGGTCAGTGTATTTCAACGGTGCGATTATTAATCTCAGACGAAACGTTTTCATTTCGTGTCATTAACGCGTCGCACAGTCTGTTGTTCCGGTGTGTGTCTACTGTCGTGACGATTATTCATTTTCGTTACGCTACATTACGCATTACAACATAGATCGTCACGGATGTCTACGAAATACAGACTACGAATAAGCTCTTCCTATATTAATTACTTAAAATTCACGATCGATTTTTATTGGATCGACTAGCAATTTTTATGCACGATAATAGGAAATAATTGATTTGGTTCGTTACGAGGGAGGATCAGGAATATATCTTTGAACACTCTTTTGGACGATTTGAAATGTATAATTATTTATTTATAGAAATGTACTGTAAATATACTTCTTTGATATTTCGTATATTTTCAGGGGGTAATAGATATTCATTTATTTTAATATGGATCTTGACACACCACGGTATGCCAGATTTGTCTAATTCTGTCATGCAAAAGATTCTTGATCTGCTATCATTGGCCCAAAGCATTCGACTCGCAAATCGAATCGGGAATTTCTATGCAGTCAGAAAATCAATATTCCGAAGAGGCCAGCCCAGTCCACAGACGTAAATCTCATAGAACATTTATGGTATTACATAAAACTATCGTTGGTTTTACGATCGCCCGCTAACAAAAATAAATTACAGTTCAAGAAATCACGAAACTGTGGCTTCGAGTATTAATAGACTACTGTTACTTAAATCCCGCTCTTTTATTAAAAATAAAACGGCAAACCGACAAAGGCCGCATCGATTCTGTTTCGCAAAAAGAGCGGGCGAAAGTACTTAATTCTCGAAACAAACGCGTAATCCTGAGGAAAATGAAAACTGATCCTCAAGTTGGGGCTCCAAGTTTGACCAGTGAGTTGTTTGAAGAACCGGGGAAAGAAGTACATCCTCAGACAATTCGGCGTGCAATCAAGGATAATGGATACTGTGGACGAGTTGCTCGCAAAAAGCTCTACATTAACGAGACAAACAGAAAGAAGCGTCTGAACTTTGCCAAAGACTACATTCGCAAAAACAAAACACGGCTGATCGATGCTATATTTGCTAATAGGAGCAAACATATTATTTTCGAGTCTAATCGAATTACGTGACGAATGATAAATGATGAACTAAACACAACGAATACTGGACTAATTTTTAAAAATTCAGATACAAATCACAAAACAACCAAATGTGTTTTTTTCTTTGTGTACTATTACCGAAATAAAAATGTGCCAATTTAAAAATAACAAGATTACAAAACTCTGTCCTACAAAAACTATCCTATATCATTTTTAAACGTCCAAACCATCAGTGTACACACGCAAAAAAATAACTTTTGATTTCTTTTCGCCGTAAAGGTGACGCAATCCATTGTGTCGACCCATGTGTCGCAACAGAAACACAATGGACTCATGTGACACAACAAGAAGAAGTTTCACATATTTTCTCAAGATCGTCAGAGATTAAGTTTTCTACTTTATTAAAGCGTCGCATCGGAACGCGTCAGATCTGCGTATTTACACGCAGAAAAGTGCCCAGTAATTAATTTCAGCTACACCCGGCGTACTTCGCGCGATAATCTACACGCACGAATTCGTACAATTCAGACCACCGCGGAAACTTTCGCTTTCTCCGGTGTTGCTTAAATACTGAGGGTGCTAATGATGCTTTGGAATCCGCGTAATTAAGCAAGGGCCTCGCGAATACGTCTGCACTGTCCATAAATCCTTCACGTTAGATAAATGTTTACAATTAGCTTTTACGCTTCGAGCGTTTCAAGTTGCCAATGCCTCTTCCGTTTCGGTAATAAAATAACACCCGGCTGGAACTACCCGCGTAATGAACGTTCATCTATTGTTAGCAACGTGTTTACTCAGCCGCGTTAATAATCATCTTTAATCTACTCACGTCTGGTTGGTCGAGATGAACATGACAAAATGCCGGTTCACTCGGGTCGCGGCGTAACGCGTGTATTAAACTTCATTCTATCGTACAATAAGTTGATAAATTACATCTGCAAAGTCTTCCTTTTTTTTTTTTTTTTCTTTACGCGACGTATCGTGCGTTCCAACGGCTGCGTGAAGCCGGAAAGTGGAAAAGTTAACAACTTTCAATTACTGTTATAAAGTAATTACCAGTGACACTTGACTGAGATGCATTAACTCGGGGAAACTTTTCGAGAAATCCATTGGCGTACATTGTTGCAATAACGCGGCAAGAAGATTGAAAAGTTTAGGAAGAAACGTAAATTGAGCTTGGACGTTATTAAATTATCGAGGTACTGACACGTTTATTCGACGATTATTACTTTTCTTTACTAGGGTGATAATATGAACGTATCTGTCCAACCACGACACTCAGATTAGATTGCAGCTTCTTGTGCTGTTCGGAAAAAGATGTACTGATAAGTGATAAGTATTTTGATGTTTCATGGTATTAGTTTTGCAACGATTTTTTAATTCATTAAAAAAGTGTTTCAAACAGGAAATGCCTGGTTTCATTAACACAGAGAAAGAATACGAACGTACTGGTCTAACCACGACACTCAGATTAGATTGCAGCTTCTTTTGCTGTTCGGAAAAAGATATACCATAAGTATTTTGATGTTTCATGGTATTAGTTTTACGATTTTTTAATTTATTAAAAAAGTGTTTCAAACAGGAAATGCCTGGTTTCATTAACACAGAGAAAGAATACGAACGTACTGGTCCAACCACGACACTCAGATTAGATTGCAGCTTCTTTTGCTGTTCGGAAAAAGATATACCATAAGTATTTTGATGTTTCATGGTATTAGTTTTACGTTTCAAACAGGAAATGCCTGGTTACATTAACACAGAGAAAGAATACGAACGTACCAGTCAAACCGCGACACTTAGGAGATTAGGTAACAGCTTTTTGCATGATTCGAAGGAAAAGCGAGGCTGTTGCAGAGGTATCGGAGCAGAGCAGATAATTTTTCATTCTCTCGTTTCCGTCGTCGTGCGAGCAAACTTCCTGTTGCTTCGTCTAATCTTGCAGTTTCTTCGTTTGAAACTCACGGAAAGCTCTTTTCGCTGGGGTACGAAGTGATATCAAGGACGGCAGCTTAACGACACCGTAACCCCAGGGCTACGAACAAGGAACGTACTTCATTTCTGGGAGGAGTGCATAAAGGGTCGTCCTCGTAGCCGGAAAAGCTTGGATTAATTCAGAGGCCCGGCGAAAGTCGTAAAATAGTGCGTGACTGCCAGTTTTCCGGCAAAAAGCAGACAGAAGTGCACACGGACGAGCGTATTTGCGCGCGTGTAGCTTTTGACTGGGGGTTTCGTGAGCGCAGAAACGACGTAGCTGTGTGCGTGCACGCGTAAGGATGGTAGAGGGTAACCTCACTGCGGATCATGAAGCGCGAGCGTGCCACGTACGTTTTCTACGACTGCAGATACCATTACGAAGATGGCGGCAGCTAACGGAAAAAAGTACACGACCCCCGGATTTCTAGGTGGAAACGAAGCCCGGCTACGAGCAATACACACGGACAACTTTAGGCGACTTGAAATAAAGTGTAACGTCGTATCTTAAGTACCTTGTAAGCTGCTTACGAGGACGGCGGCCAATTATCAATCTTTGATTTTATGAAACTCGGCACGTTGATAGAGCAGAAATCCAAACAACGAAAACTGCTCTACGTGTTGCAGATAAAATACCTGCAAAAATACAACGAAGAGACAAAGAATATTCGTTAATAAAAACACAAATATTACAGAGTGAATTTGCTCCATTTAATAATTCGAACTTACAGTAAGACATAGTAGAGTTAAAGGTCCGAAGAAAGGATAATCACGATGATTAAAACTTTGGCAATTTTTTAATTCCAACATATAGGTGATAGTTTAGAGTGTATAAGATTCAGTGGTACATACAGATCGCTATTTCGTGTAATAATGTCAGACCAAGAATTTTTTCGACTCTTTCACATACATCGTTTCGAAACGAGGACAAGGTAAGTGTCACAACTTTGGGACGAAATATGCAAAGGACGGTATAATTTTTATATTCATGACTCTTCCTCGCGTTCCGTTAGTAGATTTCAAATTAAACGACCAATTTCTTCGACGGGACTGGATAGGAGTATCCATCGTCTTGTTCCACTTGGATGTTGGAACTCGGGAGGCCATAGGAGGCGGATGGCAGGGACGCTGATCCCAACGAGTAACCGGTAGCGTATCTGGCACCTTGGCTGTACGCGGCAGGAACTCCGTAAGATCCGCTGGACAAACTCTGACCGCCCAGTGAAAGTCCAACAGAGAGTCCATTGTTATTGACGAGACTCGAAGGAACTCCATAAGCCCCGCTCGAGTAACTGGAAACTCCAACGGATGGAACAGTTTCAACGACGGAGCTTGGCACGCCATAACCGGTCTGTACGCCTGCAGACCCCAGGGAAACACCGCTAGCGTAACCAACAGAAACTGGTTGTGCTATGTTTTGGGGCACCGTCTGAACTCTGGAGTACTGTTGAGGAACTCCGTAGGTTGATGCTACCAACGGTTGGCTGTAAGCACCCGCGTAGCTTGAAACGGGAGCACCATAAGACGAACTCAACACCGGGCTGCTGTAAGATGCCACTGGCGTTGAGAGTGAAGCACTATAAGTTGGAACAGCAACAGGGGCGCTGTAAGTGTTGACGGACACAGGGGCGGTGTAGGAAGGAAGAGCATAGGTGGGAGCTTGGGCACCGTAAGATGGAGCTGGGACGTTATAGGATTGGACTGGGACGCTGTAAGATGCAGTTGGGACACCGTATGTTGCTGCTGGTACGCCGTACGTTGCTGCTGGGACACCGTAACTTGCAGCTGGAGAAACTGAGACCTGTCTCGAGGCGTACGAAGTTGTGGGTGGAAGATAGCTTGCAGCAGACCCGATGCCCTGACTTCCGAGAAGTCCACGCTTCTCGAGTTTCTTTACCGATGCGGTCGCATCGGCGGCGATCATCGAGACCAAAAATAAAGAAACCTGAAAGGGAAACACACGATTAATAATAAACAATGAACGTGATTTAGTTAGAATACTTGGCTAAAGGAGTCTATTGTAATTTCAATCGACTATTCATGAGTTCTAAATAATTGTAAAAATTATTAATGCACGAACGATGTTGAGTAACAGTATTTAAATAAAGTTGAATAATAATACTTGTAACAGAGTTTACGAATACTTGTCTCTGTGAATTATTTCAAATTCAAATTATAGTCCTACTTACTACGAAGGCCTTCATGGTGTACGAGCTGTGAGATGTTGGAGCGAAATGTGTCTTTAACGAAAGATTCGACGGTTTTTATACAGCGGCGCCCCACGGCGTCACCTTTCACTAGAAAGATACAGTTCCCCAAACTTTTCGACTGACGCAAGGGACCACGTTGCGGAGATGCTGGAAGGATTTTCTAAAATTCCCCGTTTTTAGAAAATAGTGGAATTTCTGTTCGACGCGAAGAAGATCCATGGCTATCGTTACTTAACTTCTTCGAATCTGCTACGACGTACACCCATTTGTAATTTTGTAATTCGATTGCATTTTATGAGCTTCATGTAACTTACACCGCATGAAGAATATTTTATTTATCAAAGAAAAAAATTCAAAAACGAGGAACTCAAAGAACTTCGACAAATGATAAATATTCTGTTTTTTATTCGCGATCGATCATTTATTCTTACAAATTGTTGTACTTGATTGTAGTTTTATATATGTATATGTGTGTACGGGACAAGTATTATTGGCATCATAACCAATTTGAAGTAAAAGATATATTTCCGTTTTCTTCCCGCAGACGGTAATTGAATGGCACGCCCTATAAATTGAACAACTGTGTGCAAAGCGATCAATATCACCAATAATGACGTACTCACCCCGATATCTGGAAATGTCATTTACATGTGTCATGATTGCACTAGCAATTCAAACACTTTGTCGACGTAGGCACAACGCGAATGAAAACGTTTATTCCCGCGATCTGAACCCGCGAACATTCTTATTTTACTAACCGTGTACTTAACGATCAAAGAAATTACGTTTTGACACGCTCGTTAAATTGTATTTTGTACAAAATAGTACAATTTCTTACGAATAAATAAATTTATTTAGGATTAAATTTAAATTGCCATGTCGTAATTAAACAATATAAGTCAATTGGTAATAAGAACGAATAAAATACTTATTAATATTATTAACGTCTGTTTTAGTTACAACAGTTTGGGTCCCAAGTATAAAATAGTGAATTTTGTAAATCAATCGGGCAATATACCTCTATAGAGTTGCGTCAATGTATTCTAAGTCGAATATAATACCCAAGGTACACAAATTTTCGTATTAGGAAATTATGCAAATCGACCACCTACAGAAAGTTCCATGCTCTCTACGTAACAGGTATAATTAGGTATTCATACCATAGTATCACTGTATGTGGTTTTGTTACATAAACGCGAAAGACATAAAAATACGAGAGATTTCGCTCTCGCCTTCTCCCTCTAAAATTTATGCCGACTCAAAGCAGCGCTAACTAAAAATTTTTCGGCAGTATAGACCGATCTCGCACACACGCTGATTCGGAGTGAAAGGCATTCAGAGCGGCCGTTGTTCAATGTCAAAAACATTACTTAGATCCGCATTTCGTCAATGTCGCCTGCTAAGTGGCCAATTGTAACCAGAACTGGGCTAAAGTAGAAATAACACTGTCTAAAGCATTATATTTTATCTCAGAAATCACGGGATAATTAATAAATGCAAAAATAAAAGAAAGTATCATTATGAAATAATATAAATTATAAAAGAAAAAAATTCTCCACATCACAGTGAAAATGTGTTTAATTTCTGTATTTTAATGCCAATGATTTGATCAAAAAGTTATTGAACAGCAAACGTTTCAAAGTAGTTTATTTTCTATCTTGGAACACTTTTAAAATTTAAACTTACCACAGTGTCAAAAATAAAATTGGAAAAATATAAAGGAAAGTAGCGAATTTGAAATTAAATTTGTGCTTACGTAATCGAATAGTTTTTGTTGATGTCACACAGCCTATTGCCCGAAGTGTAATAAACGGTTTTTGCCCCAGGCTTTTGACACGCCTATATGGAATAGAGAACAGTTTTTTTATTTCGTTGATGGACTACGACGTATGTCTCTCTAAAATTCTAATCAATTTTCGTTCACCCTTTATTCGAGTCTCGTTTTTTCCCAGTACGAAGTGTTCCAAATATTTCAAAATTGAAAATATAATCATATTTTTGTCATCCTTGAAACTGCAAACTGAAATAAAATATTTCTATTTTACATCTGTTTCACTTAAAAAAAACTATTTTATTCTCCGAATCTTTATATCGCATTTCAAATACATATTTCATTCCAGTATAATCGAACAAAGTTTAACTTCCGTAACTGACTAAACTGTCAAATTTGTTCGAGGCAACCCAACATCCATTCCATCGTGCCCTTCACGAGCCATTTCTAAAGGGAATATACCACCTGTCTGATGTTGGGTATGGGCGGACTTTCAATAATGACAAATCATTTCTTACAGGTTAGAAATCCCCTATCCCAGTGGCTTTTAAACTTTTACAAAGGCTTTTATCTCTTAAAACCAGAGAGAATTTTTACACCCGAGATTTAGACAAAAAATATCTGTTATGTTTATATTAATTAATTCGTTACAAAGCTGTTTTTACCTATTTTTATTCGACAAGGTTTTTACTCGTCGAAAATAATGAATTATTTAACGATAGCCCGTGGCCAACTAAAATGCTTGCCAAATTCTCGACTAATAAACAAATAATATTGAAATACATGACAAATATACTGCTACGGTTGTTAAGGTTCTATTAATATATTGATGGAAAGAGGTATTTACGTTATTTACATTTTTCTTGATTAAAAATTTTCTGGCACAATGTCAAAGGGTCAATCAGTATGTGGGTCAAGAAAAAAAAGTGGTCGATCCTTTGGCAGCACACCACTACACAGAGCCAATCATAATCGTCGAAAATATAAATTTCTCACAACAAACAACGGTGAAAATGATCGTTGTGTCGGCGTAAACACGGCCAGACGGGAATGGGGACGATGGCAAATGGCCAACCAACTGTTAGTTTTAAGAAATTTATATTTTCGATGATTGTGAGAGGCTCTGTATAGGGATATATGGTTCCAATAATCTTTTCTTTCATTCGTCTTGAAATACCTAGAAAATTAATGCCTACAATATACACCAGATATATTTAAGTTCAAGAATAGTTGAAGATACGTCTTCGAAGAGTTGGAAACGTTAATTTAATTCAAGCGTAAGAAAAAAATTGTCACGAGAAGCTTCGTGTTTATCATGCACTGTATCCACTTGCCTCCCGCTACTCGAGCGTTCGTCACATTTTCCTACAATAAACAGTTTACACTTCTCCATTTAATGCTGGGCTATGTATCTTCTACCGTTCTCGTGCACAAGACTCGCGTGCATCAACCTCTTCCGACACCTACATGCTTCGAAACTTTGGTTAATGCTTCAGAATGCAACAGGGTCTTAAGAAAGTTGACATTCGTCAAGCCAATTTTCAGCGGATTATTAAAGTTGTTAGCCGAAACAGTGGAGATTTAACAGTTACTCTATCGTTAATTCCCTCGTTTATTTTTGGCGTGTACTTGGGAACAACAATTTATTAACTGTGGAAAAATTGTCGTATTTTAATAAAATATTCAGTTATCAATTTTATAAAATATATTACTATAACAATTTTCAATTGTCAACTCAAAGTTGTTAGCCGAAACAGTGAAGATTTAATAGTTGCTCTATCGTTAATTCCCTCGTTTATTTTTGACGTGTATTTGGGAACAACAATCTAATAATAGTAGAAAAATTATCGTATTTTGATAAAATATTTAATTTTTAATTTTGTACAATGTATTGCTATAACGTTGGATATTATATTCTGAAGCCAATGCAGGGTCACGTATATTATGGAGAGACAGTCACGCTGTTAGAATTTTTGCAACCTATGGTGTTTGTGATGTAAAAACCATAAATTTCGTCAAGAGAACTATTCAAGTGAGAGAACTGCAGTTGACGAGAACGTTACACGTTTTCGGCCCGTGTACAACTAAACTCTACTGTCGATTACACGAGCACATGGGATTTCGAGTTGGTAATCGATGCTTATCGTCGCGATACTGGGCCAACCGGTAGTATCTACGTTTCACAATGAATTGTTCAGAGTGTCACTTGTCTCTACACGAGACCATACATTCTCGACGAAATCCGTGTCATTCGATTTTAACCAATCGCGAGCGATTCTAACGTGAAAAATATGCAACATTCATCTGCATCGCCTTTTCGAAAAATACCAGACTTTATTCACAACCATCTATCATTCTAATAAGAAAATTTAGTAACACATAATTCGTACAAAAATATCAATTTCATTTTTGCACTTCATATATCCTCCAAATATTTTACGAAAAATACAACATTCATTTACATCGCCAGACTTTATCCACAACCATCTATCATTCTAATAAGAAAATTTAGTAACATATAATTCGTACAAAAAAATTAATTTCATTTTTGCACTTCATATATCCTCCAAATATTTTACGAAAAATACAACATTCATTTACATCACCAGACTTTATCCACAACCATCTATCATTCTAATAAGAAAATTTAGTAACATACAATTCGTACAAAAAAATTAATTTCATTTTTGCACTTCATATATCCTCCAAATATTTTACGAAAAATACAACATTCATTTACATCACCAGACTTTATCCACAACCATCTATCATTCTAATAAGAAAATTTAGTAACATATAATTCGTACAAAAATATCAATTTCATTTTTGCACTTCATATATCCTCCAAATATTTTACGAAAAATACAACATTCATTTACATCGCCAGACTTTATCCACAACCATCTATCATTCTAATAAGAAAATTTAGTAACATATAATTCGTACAAATAAATTAATTTCATTTTTGCACTTTATATATCCTTCAAATATTTTAGGAAAAATTCAACATTCATCTACATTGCCTTTTTAAAAAATACCAGACTTTATCCACAACCATCTATCATTGTAATAAGAAAATTCAGTAACATGGAAAAAACTCAATTTTATTTTTGCACTTCATATCTCCTTTAAATATTTTATGAAAAATGCAAGGTTTTATTTAGTAGTACTTTAATTTTTCTCCAGTTGTCTCGTTCCGTTTTAAGTCTCTTTTACGTAAAAA